GATTGAGGTCTCCAGGCAGCTCCCCTCAGGAGAAGTAGGGGAAATAAATGCAATTAGTCAAAGTAAGGGAGACTATAGGCAGTGCTAAAAGTTAGTTGAGTGCAATATGAAGTGCAATGCTCCGGTAGATATGGCTATGGCAGCATAAGTAGGAGGGAGAGGCAGGTGGGAATGCAGGCATGGGGAGTCCCTGAAATGTCAGCACTCTAATCCCACAAGCAATTGTGAAGCTAGAGTGACAGCCCTGTCAATTCAGTTTATCCAAAGCCAATGGCACCGATCCCCACCCAGCTCTACACCTCACACTATAGCTTTAACTGGGAGTGAGAAGCTACAGTAGCTAGAGCTAGAACTAGTGTCCCTATAAGCTAAACTAAATAGGTGTGTTTTTAGTCTAGATGTAACATAACAGTGTACCTTGTTTCCATAAACTGTAGAACTACATATTCTCATGTCATTATCATGTTAGATTACACCAGTAACTGAAATTATTTCATGTTACAACTAAAAATTGTATTAAATAAAGATAGATTTTATGTATTTTAAAAAGTATTTTACCTGATTGATATTTACAGTATTTTCCTGTTATTTAAGGTATTTTACAGTATTTTTTACTGCATTTTTTAAAATTGTACAATCAAACAATGTATTAAATACAGAAATATCTTGTATTTACATTTACAGTTCTTTCTATCTTTCACATGGTATTTTACCTGATTGTTTTTACTCTATTTTTCAGTTGCCATTTAAGGTATTTTTACAGGCATTTTTTTTTACAGTGTTTTTAAAGGTGTGTTATACTGTGCATGTACAGACATCTTTGACCAGACTTTTCTGCTCGTATAGGACTTTGATGACTGGCTGGGAGATCCTGAGGAGCCTTTGACTGGTTTTTCCTGGAGAGGTGGTTCTGAGAGGGAAACTACGGGTATCCAAATCTGGAGTGAAGTCTTTCTGGTGGATAAGGCAGATGGTCAAAAGGTGGTGATTAGATCATGCTGAGATTTAGCAGTTTAATGAGTTAGTACGTCCTGATTGATGTCCTGCTATTTCTCTTCCCTTAGGTGGCAGTGCTACTGATGGATACTCAGGGTACATTTGACAGCCAGTCAACTCTTAGGGATTCAGCCACCGTATTTGCCCTCAGCACCATGATCAGCTCCATGCAGGTACCACCACTTTAGCCTGTCAAAACACCATATTCGCACACATATATACTTCATGCACATAATGTGGTATAATGGAAATATTTGTAAAGCTGTGTGGTATATGCCAGCTGGTTTCCTACTATTTACCTTAACTTGTATGATTAGGAAGTATAATATAGATAGACAAGTAAATGATATTGGCTTGGCAAATACAGTGGTACCTCAGTTCTCGAACTCATTAGAACTCGAATTTCTTAAAAGTTGAAAAAATAAATAATTCGATAAAAAATTACCTAGAGTTCGATCTGAATCTCAGAAGTCAAACCGTGAACGCCGACCAAAGATAACTTGTACGCGCAGGGAAATGAGTCACGCGGCACATCTCTCAGCGGAAACAAAGGGTAACGCTTCAGTCTCAGCCTGGCATTCGCTGTGATAACATCATGCATGTTTACTAGGGATGGCACGGTTCATGAAAAAAAACCGAACCTTTCGGTTCGCTTGTCTCGGTTCGGAGCATGCACGGTTCGACGGTTCATGACATGCGCAATGTAGCCTCGTGCCCCGTATGTGACGTCAGTGTGTTTCCCTTTCGCGCGAAAGAATAGGCTATATGCACAGAGCGGTGTGACGTAGTTCCGGTAAAAGTTCAGCCAGCTAAGTAATTTCCGGTAGCCTTTTGTTTGCTGCGTTTAGCTCGTGTTTTCGGCGTTACCACCCAGTCTCTGAAGAAAACGTTTAAATTTCAGCCGACCGATAGCACAACATCTGAACACTGTTGTGCGCCTTTGTTGTGTGACTTTATTTAATGTGCGGTTAGGCACTTTGTTAAAGAAAATTAAGTTATCTGTGACAAAGCACTCCAGAGATTGTCATGCCTCGATCGTCCGCTCTTTCCGTGTGGCACGCCCCCTCGTTAACCCTGTGTGGATTCCCCGTGTTTACCAGCTATTCCTGATTGTTGTCAAATTTGTCATTACTCCATTGTATTTAGTGCGCGTTTCCGTTTCTTTCTCCAGTCCGGTCATTATATTGTAATTCTGCTTTACCGCTCGTCTGTGTTCCTTTTGCTCATTAAACCCCGCATTCCCCCGATCCTAGGTCTCCTCGCCTCTGCTTCCCCGGTCAGCGTTGTAACAGTGAGCCTGCTTCCATGCTGCAATGTGAACATTTGCCATGTACCTAAAAATTCTGTTTATTGCACAGTGTCTGACCACACAGACCTACAGACTATTGCCAGATGATCATACTAGACATATCAACTGGACTATTACAGATTGATGTCTTGTACATACACAGAAACTGATTTTATCGATTACTCAAGAACATTCAATATAATTAATACCAATTTTTTTTCACGTATTTTTTTCAATATATATATATATAACGAACCGAATCAGGCTTAATCAAGATAGGTGATCTATCATTTTAACGATCCCCAATTAAATTAACCCCGTGGACCTGACAAATACAAAACGAATGATTAAACATTATATGCGTCTCTTTTTGTATGTTTTCTAAATAAGACCGCGTGCCCATACCCAACTGTAATAGCGATTAAAGCGATCTATTCTTTTAGCATTTATGTTAAGGCAAGACTTTTATTTTATTACTGTTCTGGGATTAATAATGTTTAATAATTTTAATAATGTGCTTTAAGTCAAGTCAAATTCAGTTTATGCATGATTACATGATCAAATTTTTTAGTGTTTGTGAGAACTCTGGCTGCTGCATTCTGTACCAGCTGAAGTTTATGTAAGGATCCAGACGGGCAACCAGAAAGGAGGGCATTACAGTAGTCCAGTCTGGAAGTTACAAAGGCATGTATTAATTTTTCTGCATCACGAAGTGAGAGCATCTTACGAAGCTTGGCTATGTTCCGTAGATGACAAAACGCAGTTCTAGTAATACTTCTTATGTTAGCATCAAAACATAGATCTGAATCAACTAGAAGACCAAGATTTCTAACCACCGTGTTAGGTTGTGTAGGAAGACCACTAATGCTGAGGTGGTGCAATGTATTTCTTGCAGCCTTGGGACCGATCACCAGTACTTCTGTTTTTTCTGTGTTTAACATTAGGAAATTTTTTGCCATCCAGCACCGGATATCTAACAGACAATCTTCTAACCGAGATAGGAGTGATGTATCATCAGGGTTAACAGATATATATAACTGTGTATCATCTGCATAACAATGAAACCCAGCACCATGATTTCTAATAGTGTTACCAAGAGGTAGCATGTATAGGGAAAACAGTAGTGGGCCCAGTACTGATCCCTGTGGGACACCGTATGTGACTTTGGTGGCCTTGGATGATTCGTTGTGCACATGGGCGTACTGATAGCGATCAGTTACATATGAGCGGAACCAAGAGAGTGCTGTCCCCGTAATGCCAACTACCCCTTCTAACCGGTCCAAGAGGATATTATGGTTAAATCTAGTAATACCACCAGCGATATACAGCCACGATCTGAAGCCATAAATAAATCATTCATTACTTTGACTAGAGCAGTTTCTGTGCTATAGTTTGGTCTAAAGCCAGACTGATATAATTCATTAGTATTATTTTTTTGTAGGAAAGAAGACAACTGACGAACTCCATGATCTTTGAAACGAAAGGAAGATTTGAGATAGGTCTATAGTTTCCAAAAACACTAGGTTCAAGATTTGGTTTCTTTAGGACGGGTCTAATAACAGCCATTTTAAAAGGTTTTGGAACATATCCAAGCTTAAGAGATGAGTTTAACATATTTAACAGGGTATTGCAAATCTGCGGTGCAATTTCCTTGAATTTTGTAGGAATTGGGTCTGTAGTGGATTAACAGGAGGAAATTAAGCTCAAGAGTTCTGAGTGTTTTATAGGAATAAAAGATTCAAAAGTCTCATTATAAGACTAGCAGGAGTCTGGCAGTCATCGGTAGCTAAGGACGTGCACTGGATGGTCTGTCTAATCTTAGTTATTTTACCATTAAAAAATTCTCTTAAGAGCTTGCTGGACTTGCAAGTTTAATGGAGAATTCTGTGTTAACCTAGCCATGGATTCAAATAGGAATTTTGGATTGGTTTTGTTCCCATCTATTAATCTGGAGAGATACACAGACCTAGCAGTCACTAGTGCTTGTCTGTATTTAAACAGACTCTCTTTCCATGCAGATTTGAAAACTTCTAGTTTAGTTGAGCGTCATTTGCGCTCTAGCTTGCGTGATGCCTGTTTGAGTTCACATGTACTGTATGATCAGAGTACCAGGGGGCAGGTTTCTTATCTCTGTGCTTTATCGCTTTAAGTGGGGCTACAAGATCTAGTGTGCTACGAAGCGATTTTTCCATGTTTGCAGTTGCCTGTTCAAGTTCATTTATACACGATGCCTCAGATGTAAGGCTAAAGGACTGTGGAAGTTGTTTCATAAATGTTGTTGTAGTTAGTGAGGCAATGGAACGTCTGATTCTGTACTTTGGAACTGTGGTCAATGGGAGGCTATACTGGATTTCAAACGTTAACAAGTAATGATCTGAGAGCAGAGGACTCTGAGGCATAATACATGCATGTTCCACCAGGATGCTATGACTAATAATCAAATCAAGGGTATGGTTACAGGCATGAGTAGGCCCGACTACATTCTGACATACACCAACAGAGTCAAGAATAGCTGCAAATGCTATTTTTTAAAGGATCACTATCTTTCTCCATATGAATGTTAAAATCACCCACAATAACAGCTTTGTCAGTACTGACCACCAGGTTAGTTAAAAAATCAGCAAACTCCTTAAGAAAATTACTGTACGGCCCAGGTGGTCTATACACAATAACAATGGTGATTTGGGCTGAAGAGCTATGAAGAGATGAGCCAGCAAGACTAAGAACAAGAGTTTCAAATGTGCTGAAACTCAAACCACATTTCTCAGACACTCCTAGGCTGGACAGAAAAATTGCAGCAACACCACCACCTTTGCGATTTGGTCGAGGGTTATGCTTATAACTCATTCGATTTAAGCCAGGTCTCTGTGAGGCATATGGCACCAAGACTTAAATCAGTAATTATTTCATTTATTAATAGTGCCTTAGGAGCCAGTGATCTTACATTCATAAGTCCAAGTTTAAGTTTAAGCCCTGCATCACAGCTGTTTTCTAATAACGGATTCATTGTAATTTTTATTAAGTTATTATGGCACACACTACGGTGGAATAGGCTTCCATTTTTAAAAACGTGGGGAACAGACACAGTATCAATAAAATGAACCCTAGGTGACGACTCTAAGCGACTAGCAGGCGGTCGGGCCGGTTTGCCTGCCGCCTGGACTTGGCTCAAGTTAGTCAGCAATTTGCCTGGAGACTAAGAGCTATCTTTTTAGACAAGAGGTCGGCACGAGCCCGCGAGGGGTGAATACCATCCCTCTTCAAAAGGCCAGGCCTACCCCAAAACATCCGCCAGTTGTCTATATAACCCACATCATTTATCGGGCACCATTCCAACAGCCAGCGATGTAGCGACGATAATCTGCTGTACATTTAATCGCCACGTCTAGCAGGAATGGGGCCAGAGCACGTTACTGACAAATCTTATTCGCAAGGTTGCACACCTCTATGAAATTTGACTTCGTGATCTCCGATTGCCTCAATCGGACATCATTAGTGCCAACGTGGATAATAATCTTAGAGTATTTACATTTACTTTTAGCCAGCATTTTTTAATTTGCCGAGAAGTCGGTCGCTCTGGCACCAGGGAGACAATTACCTATGGTCGCTGGAGTCGCTACTCTCACGTTTCTTAGAATAGAGTCACCTATTACTAGAGCACTTTCAACAGCGGGAGTTTCACTGATTTGGGAGAACCTGTTGGAAACGCGAATGGTGCCGGTGTGAATTATGGTTGGATTTACGACTATGCCGCCGGGTCGTCACCCACTCGCCTTGCTGCGAAGGCTCTGCTGCCGGAGCGGGGGGGAGACTGAATACTAGGGGTGGCACGGTTCACAAAACCCACGGTTCGGTTTGTGTCACGGTTTT